GGGGTTCCCCATCAGCCGGCGGCTGACCGAAGTACGAGGGCCACGGCGTGCGCTTCAACATTACGGCGCGCATGATGGCGTGCCAGGCGCCGGCCAACTGGACCGAGGCCGAGAGCCACGGCTTCTTCACGCGCAACCTCTACCGCGCCGTGCTGCAGAAGATGTTCCTCGACCGCGGCGTCATCACAAAGGTGTACCACCGGCCGAGCGGCGAGGGCCAGACGACGACGGCCGCAGCGGAGGCGGATCAGGGCGGGCCGCGCCGCCAGGGCGAGGGCGACACGCCGTTCGACGTCAGCACGAACCCCGTGACCATCGGGTCGCTCAACAAGCGGTGCTACACGTCGTTCAACGCCTACGTGCGCGGGGCCGTCCAGAAGCTGACGACGAATAAGGAGTACACAAAATACAGCGCCATTGTGCAGGCCAAGATGGGCGACGTCACGGACGAGGAGATTGCCGACTACGAGGCGCGCTTCGCCAGCCGCGGGCGCGAGGTGTCGGCCGTCTGGAGCCTCATGGCCTTTAGCGCGGGCATTGTCGAGTCGCTCATCGTCACGGACCGGTGGCTGTTCCTCGAGGAGGCCGACGTCGTCAAGGATGCGTGGGTGGAGACGGTGTTTGACTACAAGCAGAGCCCGCGCAACCTCGTCGTCGTCGGCATCAAGAAGTAGAGCCGCCAGTCGTGGTTACGGCAGCGACTGCCGTACATGGAGCACTGCACATGCCATGTCTCGGAGAAGAATGATGCAGAACCCGACCCGGGCGGCGGCGCCTATGCGGTCCCCGCGGCGGGCGCCCGTCTTGGCGAAGGCAACCGCCGATCGGTGGAGCGGAATTTCATCAGCAATGCAGACGACCAACGTACAAAAAAAATAGCCGGTTTGCGTAGCGCCCTGTGATGGCAAATGGGGGATAGCCTGTCATTCAACTGACAGACGACACGTCGTGGTCAGCACGGCGGCGTCGACCAGCAGCAGCGGCATCGACAAGCAGCAGCGGCATCGGGGTTGCCGCATGACGAGTGAGGGGCCCTGTGATAGATCACAATGCTCTCGTCAGCCAAGGACAATTTTCTCACAAATTTGTGAGCAGCTGGTCCTTGTCTATGGACTCTGGACCAAAGGGGCAAGCCTGCCGGAGGAATTGGTGCTTTGGTGTTTCTGTGGCGTCCGGTGACGTCTCTGTCTGACCGAGGAGGGAAACGAGGCTGCCCTTTACGGACTGGCGACAGTCAGCGCCAGGGTAACCTGTCGAATCTCTTGGGGGCGGCGGGCTGGACGAGGTGTCACGAGGGCCGATGGCAGAGGTGAGAGACGGCAACGAAGCGGGCGTTGGGAGCATTGCATGGATCAGGCCCTTGGGTTTCAAGGCATACGGATATCAAGGCATTCGGGACATGCTGTTTGATGACGGAGATGGACGGGGGGGGAAAGCAAACGGCAAAACGAGCATGTTGATGATGATGACGATGACGACGATGATGATTACCTATGGTAGACCCCTGTCACATTTGGGAACAAGACCCTGGGCCGGCATGAGGGGGCAACAAAGTCATAGAAAGACGCCACAGCTGAGCTTCGAACAGAAGCCGAGAGAGCCACCTACGGCACGTGTAACCTCGAGCAGGGGGTTGGGGAGGATACAAGGGGAGGATACAAGGGGAGGATACAAGGGGAGGATACAAGGGGAGGATACAAGGGCACAATGCGGGGTTCAGCCGTTGGTGTTCATGTATATTTAAAACTAGGCACAAGTGATGCTGTCTTTTGGGGGTCAAGGATGCTACTTCGTGTTTGGTGTTTGTCGATTCTGCCGTGGTCTCTCTTTACGAGGCCGGATCAAGTCCCCGAATCTGCCAAGTTCGAAGTATATCCATGACTCGTGCGGTAGAGAGGCAAGAGAGGGAACCCCCGGACCAGCTTGTCTGCGTGTGCCGAGCCCGGCGCATCAGGTCGCGAGAGCAATCGAGGGTTAAGGGTTGAGGGTCGAGGGTCGAGGGTCGAGGGTCGCAGATCGAAGGTTGCAGCGTGGGGGGGAACATGCCCAAAGTGACAGCACCACATCATCTGCCAACGAGGCCATGTCATTCTTTTCAGCTGGCCATCACCTGCCTCCCTTGGCCCGATCAATAGATGATGCCGTCTTGTCGACGCTGAGTGGCACGAAACAAGGCTGCAGCTCACCCAAAGAGGCCAACTTGCTGGCGCGCCCTGGCTCAAAGCAGAACATGACAAGACATAGAACATGACAAGACATGTCATCATGCGTCTCTACTTTCGACCAACCCAATGACCATTGGTCCCCCCCCCCCCCCCCCCCTCGAGGGATGCCATAACTCCCGAAAAGGGCCAGCAGAGAGACACCGCCGCCGCCCGGGGAACCTGCATGAAGGAACCGAAGCACCACCCGACCTGGTAGACCCCATTGTCGCTAGGCCCCCTCCCCAGATGCCATGGAGAAAGGAGATAAGGGGCCCCCCGTCTTGCGGCCGCAAGCCGCCTGAAGGGTTAAGAGGGGGGGGGGGGCCG